CGGCCAGCGTGGCCACGGCTGGCTCCCAGGGGAGCTCTCGGGGGGAGCCGTGGGGAGCCCCGGGCCCGGCGGGGCTGAAACACCAGTTACTTGTCGCTGGCCAACCAGCTGCCGTGAAACTTAGTGAGCTTGAAACATCCCCCGTTTACTGGTTTATTCTATACCCGTGGGTTAGGAATTCAGAAAGGGCTCTGCTGGGTGGTCCTTCCGTCCACGGGCCACTGGCTGGGGTCGTCGGCTCCACGCGGGGCTGGGCCGGGACCCCGGGGGCCTCCCTCCCTCGCCCGCACCTCTGCCCCTTGCCACAGCCTGCCCTCCCTCCTGGACGGTGCCCAGGCCTCCTCGCAGCACGGGGCGCAGGGCCTCGGAATGTGGGAGCTGCGGGGTCTCAGGGAGCCACACGGCATCACCCAGCCGCGTCCTCTGAGGCCAGACTCGGGTTCCAGGGGAGGGGATCAGCCTCTATCCTGCCACAGGGAGCGTGACAGGAACAGCAGGGCCACTGTGTTCTCAGGAAGGGCGCATTGGAGGCGCTACAGAACAGCCACGGACAGAGGGTCAGGCAAGTCCTCGGCGCACGCTCGGGGAGGATCGTGCGGTGTTTAAAACCGCCGTCACGTCGTCCACACCATGTGCAGAGCTGTCGGGTTTACAGTTCGGGGAGGAGGCTGCGCGAGGTGTGTTCCCTGTCATCTCAGTTGGGTGAAACAGTGCGGAGAAAAGGTCTGGAAGGAAAATGCCAGAATGTTACGGTGGCTCCCGCATGCTGGCAAAATAATGGTGTTTTAATCCATCTTGCTTTTCATACATTTCAAGTGTTTTCTTCAATAAGCATGCCTTTCTCTCATAATAAAAAGTGTCACAATGGAGAGCATGCCTCAGTTGAACTGAAGTGTTCTCGGTGCTTATGACAAACGTCTGCCGCCGTCGAAGGCCAGTCGGAGGCCGCACGCTAAGCCCCTGCCTCGTTCTCTCTCCAGGTGGGCGAGGCCAGGACGGGAGCCCAGTCATCACATTCCCCGACTACCCGGCCTTCAGCGAGATCCCGGACACAGAGTTCCAGAATGTCATGACCTATCTCACCAGCATCCCCAGGTGCGTGGCGCGCAGGGGCCCGGTGTCTCGAGCAAATGCTGTTTTCTTTAGAGGGGGTTATGCCTTCGCTGAGTGCCCTTTGGGACGGGGTTAGAGTCTTTGTAAGGTTGACTCCAGCGCTGAGATCCCCCAGCAGGGAGAGGAAAGGAGCCTGTTGAGCTGGGGGAGCCTCCCAAGGGACGTCGGAGGAAAGTGGGCATTTTGGCAGAGAGAAGGTGGTTTGTGCCCGGCTGCGTTCAAGGGCTGGGAGGTCGGCGTTCCGGGGGGCCGCAACTCACCCTGTGCTGGGGTTTGGGGTTTTGACCTCCTTCTTTCTTCTTTCGAGAGAATCCCGTACCCACCATGTGCTGGTGCTGGGCTCTCTGCCAGCCAAGCAGAGCTCACGCAGGGAGGGGCCGCCCCCTGCAGGGGGTGATGTGACCAGCGTCACCGGCAGTGACTGCAATGCTGCAGAGCATTTCCATGTATTTTCTCCTTTGGTCCTCAGAATTACACTGCGGCCAGAAGGCAGTTACGGGGCCCCTTTTATAGATGAGGCCACCAAGTCCTTGGGATGACCTTGCGGGTCTAGAAATCAGCCAGCTAGGGCATGGGAGCAACTGAAGGCCCAGACCGCACGGCCATGCCGAGGACACAGGTTCCACGTGTGCGGTGGCAGGAGGGGAGTCCCGGGGAGGCTGTGATGGCTGCCAGCTCCAGGCCTTCATCTGCCGCCTGACCAGGAGGACGGGCAGCCGTGCCCCAGCCGCGCATGTGCCCGCACGCACAGGTCTTCATCCATCCAGCCCATGCGCCCTTACTGTCTGGAAATGAGATTCTTAAATAATAAAACCCAACACACCTTTCATTTCAGAAGACATCTGTAGCACCCTGCTAGGAAGGGCCAACTGAAGAAAAGGACTTATTTTGGTATTTTAGCGTTTAACTGTCCGACGTGGCTGCGTGGTGGTCACAGGAAGCTACGTGGTGGTTGCGTTGGTGGGAAATTCGGTGTACATTTAAAATGTGGGGGAGAAAGCTGTAGTGCAGGTAAACCTGTAGGGTCTGTAGGTAAAGCAAGCATCCCCAAAGGCTTGTAGGTGCAGCTCAGCGGGGGGCTGTCCCATCCCACATCTGACATTCCTGGCCTATGCAAATCACCAGGAGGGTGATGATGGAGACACGTCCACCCGCGCCTGCAGTGCTCTGGGGTACCGCTCCTGCGCCACCCCCACGGGGAAGCACCCTTTGTAGGGTCGGCCTGCCCATCCTCGCCCAGTGGGGGACCTCCTTCATTGATCAGGCCAGAGGGCACGGTGCCCTCTGTGGTCGGGAGGCTGCTGGGCTGAGGATTTATTCCAGATCGCTGCGGAGCCAGCACATTGTCTAAGTAGAAAGAGTGAAATTCAGACAAGTATGTTATTACAAGTGTCAATGCGTGGGGCCGGCCCGTGGCTCACTCGGGAGAGTGCGGTGCTGATGACACCAAGGCCACAGGTTC